CAAACCAGTTCCAGGGACTAATTCAAAACCACTCTACTTCAAGGAAAGGATAAGAGTTTATGAGGCAACAGAAGAGGAAGGCGTCTGCTGTTTGTTTTCTGGGCATCTCTCTCTATCTTTGAGTAGTAAGATGACGTTCTGGAAGGAGCCAGCCAACTCCACAAGTGTTTTACCCTTTTCCCTTTAATGACCTGGCTGCCTGCCCACCCTGGGCCATTTTGGCGTATTGGAAGTGATCAAAGCCACTGCAAACCATTTCCTTTGCTAATTGTAAAGCAGATTTAACTACAGCCTTGAGGTTCCTAACTCCCATGCCAGGTAATTATTCCCTGAATAAAGATGACTTCTACATTTTTGTATTTCAAAATGCTTTACAATCCCTGTTGTTAGCTGCCATTGAGTCGAGGTGGGGACCCCATATGCACAGTGGCACCCAATGCTACCTGGTCCTGTGCCATTCCCATGATGGGTTGCAGGCTGAATCATTGTGATCCATAGGGTTTTCATTGGCTGATTTTCAGAAGAAGACCACTGAATCAAGCCTGGGTCTCCTGTCTGGGAGGCGAGAATTCTACCACTGAACTGCCCCCTTCCAAAAACCTAAAGCCAAAGCAGGTGCTATGGAGTCGATTCTGACTTATGATGACCCCATATGTGTGAGTAGAACTGTGTTCCATAGGGTTATCAATGTGATCTTTTGGATGTCGATTGCTACGCCTTTCTTCTGAAGCATGTGTGAGTGAATTCGAACTGACAACCTTTTGGTTAGGAGCCGATCTCTTAAGCCTTTGTGCAACCTGGGACGCCTTACAATCCCTATTAATGACTAACTCATAGACATATCTATAGAAATTTTTGAGGTCTCGAATATAAAAACCAAGGTGAAAATAGGAGCTGTTTCTTTAATTCTTACTATCCAGTTTTTAAGAAACACTTTAATATTCCATTCAACTCTTTTCTCCGGTTCTCCTCCTCTTTCTCTCTTACTGGCTCTGAAAAAATAAGTGTAGCCATAAATATACAAAGTGTGGAAAGCTGACTTTTCCTATATCTAATAAAAACCTTGGGGAGTAATTGAAATAATTCAGAGCGGGTAGCCAGGTTACACGCTGCATAATATCCAAAGAAAATCCTAGCGAGAAAAAGCAATAGAAGATAGGCAGAGGGGCTGGCGAATAAAAGCAGAATAATGAGTAACTGTGAGAGACTAAAAAAAAAATCCCTTTAGAATTACAATTACAAAAATAGTCAAGAAGGCTCTTCAAAAAATTATACTAGACAAAGTGAACATTTTATGCATTTTTAAGGATCACAAATTTAAAGAAAAGGAGGGAAATATCCTCCCCCTCCCTGGCATCTATTCATCACACAAAAATTTGAGAGAAGCCACAGGTTTCTATTGAATTTTGACGTTCATGTTTTTTTCATGATGAGGCTCTCCTCCCCTCTCCTGGTTCGCTTTTTATCTCCACCATCTGAATTTTAAAGGAACACTGTCAAGGTGGCATATCACAAAAGAACCGTTGCCTATCAATTGTACTGGGTAGTTTTTGGAGGATCTTGCTTTGATCTTTTTGATTTTACAAAAGATCACTGCATTCGTGGCAGTAGAGAAATGATGTTGACTTGACATGTCTGGGTCTTATGAAGAAAAATGGTGGCATTATGGGCATATGGAGAAAGAGCAGCTCACAGCCTGTATTTCTGGCAGAATGTTATTGCTTGTTACCTTGCCCTAACCAGATACATTTGGCTCTGTGACCTTGGGCAAATCCTTTACTGTTTCTAGACTCAGTTTCTTTCTAGTTTTTCTTTTTAAATTATTATTAATTTTTTAGGTTATTTTCATATAAAAATAAGAACTTTGGGAAACCGAAAGGTAAAAAGAATGAAAATCAATCACCCATAATCTCGCCAAACATAATGACTATATGTTGGTGAATTTTCTGTCAATCTTTCTTCCTATCTACAAGCTGTGTTCTTTATTTTTTTCCACATGATAGAAACCAAACTATTTTATCCAATTTTACATCCTGATTTTTTTTCTTTTAGCAGTGTTTTGTCTTTCCAAATAAGAACATATATATTTTTAACCGTCATTGGCTGTACCCGATACCCATTGCTGTTTAGTTGATTCCGACTCATGGCGACCCTATATGTTACAGAGCAGAACTGTGCTCCATAGGATTTTCTTGGCTGTAATCTTTACAGAAGCAGATCGCCAGGCCTTTCTTCTGTGGTGTTTCTGGGTGGGTTCAAACCACCAACATTTAGGTTTGTAATGGAGTGCATACTGTTTTCACCATCCAGGAAATTTATCATTGTCTATAGCTGCAAAGTATATGCATTTTTGTTTGTTCTTTGTTTTTTGACAGAGAGCCTTTGATAGCTTTGAGGCTGTTTGAGTTTCTTACTGAAGGAAAAGAAAATGTGCAAGCAAGGGCCTGATGTGCACGTTGTGTTTATGATGGTTTCATCCAGGCTCAGCTTTAACTTTGCCTTAAACTGTTGGTTTAGTTCATATACAAAGACGTGAGTTTGATGTATTTCTGTAGATCATCTAGGATCATAGACCAGTGACTGTATTATCTATGTTGCTGTCTGTGAACGAAGTCAGACAGACCTGGGTACAAAGTCCAGTTCTGCAATCTACTATCTCTGTGACCTGGGACAATGTTCTTGACCACTCCATGCCTCCCTTTTCTCATCTGTAACAGGTGGACTATAATTTCTCAGTTTTAAGGAATATCTTTTTAAAACATTTACTATTGGGTTGCGTGCTGTAATCAATGTGTACATTTTAATTTTTCCTTCCTTTCCCTCCCTCAACACTCCCCAAAGCTATTACAATCAATGGCATCTTAGAATTGAAATATAATGATACTTGCCTTACAGGGCTGTTGAAAGGATTAACTGAAATATTATACATAAAGTGTTCTTGCCATTGTATAATCGTGCACACGGTATGAGCTCAATAAATGAGTTCTGCAAAAGGTTTGTGCTCGACTGCTAACGTGAAGGTTGGTGGTTCGAATCCACCCAGCAGTACTTCGAAAGACAGGCCTAGTGACCTGCTTCTGTTAAGATTACAGCCAAGAAGACCCTATGAAGCAGTTTTAATCTGTAACACATGAGGTCCCCACGAGTTGGGATCAACTCAGTGGCAACTAACAACAACTATTTTGTTAGTACAAAAAAAATCTATGTATTGTTTTTAGACTAGTAGAACGTTCATTCTTTGTAGAATATTTATAAGAAATACATTATTTTTAGGAAATATATTTATTTAAAATTCTTGTATCTTGGAAATTTCCCCAACGCTCTTCCATTAATTAGAAATGGCACAGGGATGGCAAATCGGTTTAGCTTCACATGCCAAGTCTAATCTGTTGTTGATTGTCAGACATGCTGTGTTGTGAGAACTGCTGAGGGAATCTGGGTCTAGCAGAAGAGTGCCAAGGCCGATTAGTAGTATCTTCCCCAGGCTTAGGAAGAAGAAGTGGCAACACACACACTAAGTATTTGCTATCTCTGCATCATGGTGTCCCAAGTCATTACTTGGAGAGTCATTGAAGATCACAGTTTATCAATCAGGAGTTTCATCAAAATCTCGTGGCAATGCACTGACCCTGGCTCCACGAAGGAGGTTGAGACCAACATAGGTAAGAGGCAAGCCCAGAAGATGCTGATGTCTGGGAAACACAGAAGCTGATGAAGACCTGGAAGTCTCAACAACACTCTGCAAACACACCCCTTTCCTCAATGGCTTTCAGGATTTTAGCCACAGGGTGGCTAAAATATTGTGGAAATATGGTGGAAATGAATTCAGAAAATTAAAACTCTGCAGACATATTTTCTCTGAACTATCAATCCATTATTGAGAGTTATTACAAGAAATAGTCCAGTGAAACAGGTTGCACTTATTTTTCTTAAAACTCCAACCCTACAAAAACTTGGAAGACTTTGTACCAATGGGGAGGGCAGAGCCTTTGCTGTGACCCTGACTGTGTTCAGCCCTTGTTCTGCTAATGTTGACTTAGGTCTTGCCTCCTGAGCCTTGGATGCCCTGCACCTCGGTCTTTCTAGCACTTTGCTGTTGGATAACTGGCCTTCTTCTTCTTGGTACGTCGTGACTGCATCTTGCTCTTGATCGCCTTTCCACCATCACCATCAGTTGCCATCGAGTCAATTCCGACCCCATGTGTGTCAGAGTAGAACTGTGCTCCATACTTTTTTTTTTTAATTGATGTTGTTTAAATGAAGTTTACATTTCAAGTTAGTCTCCTATACAAAAATTTATACATACATTGTTATGTGACCCTAATTGCTCTCCTCATACTGTGACAGCACACTCTTCCTTTCCACCCCTGGTTCTCCATGTCCATTTAACCAGCTCGTAACCCTCTCTGCCTTCCCATCTCACCTCTGGACAGAAGCTGCCTGTTTGTTCTCTTGTATCTACTTGAGCTAAGAGGCACACTCCTCACACTACCACAGTCCAGTTCAATCCCTGTCTGAAGAGTTGGCCTCGGAAATTGTTTTAGTTCTGGGCTGATAGAGACTCCAGGGGCCACGATTTCTGGGGTTCCTCCAGTCTCAGTCAGACCATTAAGTCTGGTCTTCTTACTGGAATTTGACTTCTGCACCCCACCTTTCTGCTGCTCCATCAGGGTCCATATGGTTTTTAAGGGCTTATTTTTTGGAAGTAGATTCTGGACCTTTCTTCTGAGGCACCTGTGGGTGGACTTGAACCTCTCACCTTGTGCTTAGCAGCCAAGCACGTTAACCATTTGCACTACCCAGGGACTCCTGGTCTCCCTTGCTATGGGTGAGAGACTCTAAGCCCTGAGCCCATCTCTCAAAAAGGGCAATGGTGTTGGAAAAAGGGACTGTTCATTTTATTCTGTGATCCTTGTTATCTAATTCTCAGCTTTTTTGGTATTTATGAAATAAAATCAATCATTAAAAGTAGGTGAAAGCTTAAATGGAAAGCAACATACCATTTTTTGAAATATTCTGGTAGTCCCTGTGATTGCAGTGGTTTCTTTTCCGTAAACGAAGGTAAATAGAATCTTCTTTAATTCTGAAACAAATATATATGTATATATTTAATGTTAGGACATTCATATGATGAAGTTAATTTAAAAAAATTTTTTTTATTGTACTTTAGGTGAAGGTTTACAGAACAAATAGTTTCTCATTAAACAGTCAGTACACATATTGTTTTATGACATTGGTTAACAACCCCACGACATGTCAACACTCCCCCTTCTCAACCGTGGAGGACCTTTTTTTTGGTGAAAATATACACAGCCAAAGTTACATCATTTCAAAACTTTTTACATGTACAATTCAGTGACATCAATTACATTCTTCCAGTTGTCATGCTATTCTCACTAACCTTTTCCAAATTATTCCATCACTGCTGTCTTCAACTCACTGTCCCCTAGGCTTCCCACCAAACCTTTTAAGTTGCTTTTGTCAGTTTGATCTCACATAGATAATTCTTTTTTTTTTTTGTACCTTAGATGAAGGTTTACAGAACAAATAGTTTCTCATTAAACAGTTAGTACACATATTGCCCTATGGCAATGGTTAACAACCCCATGACATGTCAACACTGTCCCTTCTCAACCTTGGGTTCCCTATCACCAGCTTTCCTGTCCCCTCCTGCCTTCTAGCAAAAAAACATATTTTCATAATGATTTTTTTTAAAAAACAAATATGGTGGAAATAAACTCAGAAAATTAAATCTCTGCAGACATGTTTTCTCTGAACTATCAATCCATTATTGAGAGTTGTTACAGAAAACAGTCCAACGAAACAGGTCGCATCTATGTGGGGAGAGTATTGTTAAAGATACCACACTTTTACTTTTTTATAAAGATTTCCAGTATCACCCATTCCTAATCTTTTTACCAAGAGCTGCTATGAATCTCTTGAGCAATTGCTTGTCTTTACTAACTCTGTTATTTTGTACCTGACCATGTTCTGTTTCTTCTTTTGGCCGCTATGAAGCTGTGACAGACACTCTCATCGTCCCTCATATTTCTTTCTCTTCTTTGTCCTTTGTAACAACATCTTTAGCAGGACACATATCTGCCCAGAATGATAACTGCATTTCCCAGCTTCCCTTGAAGCTAGCAGTGGCCATGTCACTAAATTCTGGTCAACGGGATGTAAGTAGAGTGTTTAGTGGAAATTTCTAAAACATTTCTTAGCAAACAACTAGCAGTTGACCTTTGCTTCTTCTTCATTCCTTCCTCCAGTCTACTGTGCAGGAAGATATGAATGCTGCTATCTTGGAATATGGGGATAAGGTCCACATGGAGAAGGCAGAGGGTTGAGCTGGAAGGAGCCTGAATCTCTGAGAACTGAGCAGAGTGGAACTACCATACCTGTCCTAGACAGCACATCTCTGAACTTTCATATGAACAAGAACAAATCTCATGTATTACCGTATTTAAACCACCCTTACATTGGGTCTCTCAGTTACTTGCTACTGAATCTAACACTAATGGACACAGAGCTTAGAAACAAATTTGTGGCCCAGTATCGAGTTATAATTATATATATTTTTAGTCATTTCTTGGCTCCCCTGTGTCTTATCTTTGCTTTTCTATCTTCTTTTGCCAATCTTTTTAATTTAATTTAAACATAATGTAATGTTATATTTTCCATACTTCTATGGGCTTCCTAAAACAAAGCCAGGGATAAACTAATGAATATAATTAAACTCAGAAATATTCAATTACCCCTTGAATGTACTGTATCTTCTCTTCATTATAACTTCATATCTGACAGCCTTATACACAATCACCATTTATTTTTAAGTGTTATATAAGTCTCATTCATTGTGCTATATAAGTCTCATTCATTGTATTACAGTGCTTGCAACTGACCCAGTGCTTCTGAAAGGTAAGCATGAATCATGTTTGGGTATTCAGAATGCATCAAAAATAAAATAGTATTCTTCTCAAAGTACGAGAAAACTAGTGATAACATTTCTTTTTTAAAAAACTTATTTTGTTATTGTTGTTAAGAATATACAGAGCAAAACATACGCCAATTGAACAGTTTCTCATGTACAATTTGTGACATTGATTACATTCTTCAAGTTGTGCAACCATTCTCATCCTCCTTTTCTGAGTTGTTCCTACCCCATTAACATAAATTCACTGCCCCCTAAGGTTCCTATCTAATCTTTCAAGTTTCTGGTGTCAGTTTGATCCCATATAGATAGTTCTTAAAAGAGCATAATGCTCAAGGCAGACATTTTTATTAGTTGAGCTATTGTTTGGTTTTAAGAAGACTTAAAATCATTTATAAAAATAAAATAAAAACCTTATTTTTGGTATAAAGTTTAAACATTATCTCAGGGCAATAGTTTCAGGGGTTCATCCAACCTTCATGGCTCCAGGAAGTCTGGAGTCCATGAAAATTTACAATTCTGTTCTACATTTTCCCCCTTTTGAGCAGGATTCTTCTATAGAATCTTTAATCCAAATGTTCAGTAACAGTAGCCAGGCACCATCCAGTTCTTCTTTCCTCATGGTAAAGTAGGCAGTTGTTCACGGACACAATTAGTCACACATTCCATATCCTCCTTCTGTTCCTGACTCTCCTTCTTCCTCTGTTGTTCCAGGTGAATAGAGACCAATTGTGTGCCTTGGATGGCTGCTTATAAGCTTTTAAGACCCCAGACACTATGCAACAAACTAGGAGGTAGATCAGAGGCACTAAACACATTATTAGGCCAATTAACTGGGATGTCCCATGAAACCATGACCCTAAACCTCCAAACCAAGAAACCAAATCCCACGAGGATTTTGACTGTACATAAGCAGCTTCAGCAGTTACTCTTTTTCTTTTTTGTCATTGTTGTAAATATGTCTATCACATAACTTTTGCCAATTCAACTTTTTACAAGTGTACAACTTATTGACAGCAATTACAACAACCGGCTGTGCAACCCTACCCTTAATCAAGGTGATATTTCCATCACCATTAACCCCCCCTTTCCCCATCCTTCTTACCCCTGGTAACCACTAATAAACTTAGTTTTCTATACATTTACCTTTTCTTGTCTTTTTATGTAAGTGAAGTCCTACAATATTTGTTCTTTTGTGTTTGACTTATTTCACCCAGCATTATGTCTTCCAGCTCCATACATATTGTAGCATGTATCAAGATTTTATTTCTCCTACTGGCTGAGTAGTATTCCATTGTATGTATGTATCACATTTTGTTTATTCATTCATCTGTTGATACACATTTAGGTTGTTTCCATCTTTTGGCGATTGTGAATAGTGCTGCAATGAACATTGGTGTACAAGTCTCTGAGTCTCTGCATTCAAGTCTTTTGGGTATATACTTAGGAGTGGAATTGCTGGGACATATGGTAGTTCTATTTTTAGTTTTTTGAGGAATCACCATACTGCTTTCCACAGTGACTGTACCACTTTTTTTCCCAGCAGCAATGGGTAAGGGTTCCAATTTCCCCACATCCTCACTAACATTTGTTATTTTCAATTTTTTAAATCTTAGTCATCCTAGTAGGATTGACATAGTATCTCTTTGTGACTTTGATTTGCATCTCACTAATGGCTAATGGAAACCCTGATGGCATAGTGGTTAAGTGCTACAGCTGCTAACCAAAAGGTCAGTAGTTTAAATCCACCAGGCACTCCTTGGAAATCCTATGGGGCAGTTCTACTTTGTCCTATATGTTTGTTATGAGTAGGAATCAACTCAATGGCAATGGGTTTGGTTTTTTGTTTTTTTTTTGATGGCCAATGACGCTGAGCATCTTTTCATGTGTTTGGTGACATTTTAATGTCCTCCTTGGTGAAATGTCTATTCAAGTCTTTTGCTTATTTTATGATTGAGTTATTTGTCTTTTTGTTGTTGTCAAAGTTATATATATATTTTTGTTATTAGATTCTTGTCAAATATATGGTTTCCGAAGATAGTCTCCCAGTCAGTAGCTTGTCTTTTCATTCTTTTTTGTAAAGTCTCTTGATGAACAAAAGTTTTTAATTTTTATGAGGCCTCATTTATTTATTTTGTCTTTTGCTGTTTGTGCTTTTGTTATTATGTTAGATACCGTATTTTTACACATATAACGTACACCTTTTACATTTGTTTTTATAAGAATAACCATGCATTTGGTTACAGGTATTTTTGTAAGTGCACTATGCTATTTTTTGTAAAACCTCACAGCATCGCCCCTGCTTTTTCTTCTAAAAAATTTATTGTTTTACTTTGCACATTTAGGTCCTTAATCCATTTTGAATTTGTTTTTGTGTGTGGTGGGAGGCATGGATCCTATTTCATTTTTCTGCATGTGGAAATCCAATTTTCTCAGCACCATTTATTGAAGAGACTCTTCTTTCCCCATCAAATGGATTTAGTACCATTGTAAAAAATCAGTTAATCATAGATATGTGGGTTTATTTCTGGACTCTCAATTCTATTCTATTGGTCTATGTGTCTATTGTTATACCGGTACCAGGCTGTTTGATCACTGTAGATGTACAGTACATTTTAAAACCAGGAAGTATGAGTCTTCCTACATTTTTCTTCTCTTTCAACATTGCTTTAGCTATTTGGGGCCTCTTGTCATTCCACATAAAGTTGAAGATTGTTTTTTCTATTTATATGAAGAAGGCTGCTGGAATTTTAATCATAATTGCATTGAATCTTTAGATTGCTTTGGGTAGTACTGACATCTTAATAATATTATGCTTTAAAGTCAAATGTGGAACATTGTGCTATTTATTTAAGTCTTTTTTAATCTCTTTCAGCAATGTTTTATAGTTTTCATTGTATAAATCCTTCACATCCTTGATTAGATTTATTCCTAGGTATTTTATTCCCTTAGATGCTATTATAAATGGAATCGTTCCTCTAATTTCCCTTTCAGATTTCTCACTGCTAGTATATAGAAACCCAACTGATTTTTGTTTGTTGACCTTGTACCCTGCAACTTTGCTAAATTCCTCTATTAGCTCTAGAAGTTTTCTTGTGAATTCTGGGATTGTCTATAGATGGGATCATATCATCCACGAATAGAGATAATTT